GTGCTTCTGGTATTAGAGGCTCTCTTATTTCCTTAGGTGATTTGTTCCTCAGCTTTAGTATCAGAAGGGCTTTCCTCACTGCAGGGTATAGTGGTAGCTGTGTGTAATGAAGGTGAAGAAGAGATGCAGGAGGGTTGGTTATGTCATCCTTGCTGTCTTTAGTCTGAAGACCCCAGTTCTTTTGGTCTCTCAAGATTTCTGGCTGGTTTTGTGGTTTTAATTTGAACTTTCCCCAGCCGGCCCACAGCTCTCTGGGGATGCAAAGACTTAGACACAGCATGGGGAAAGAATAGCCATGTGTGTCTTGAGGCTGTATTCCTCCCTGGACATCCCACTGTGGAGCTTGTCCTTTCGGATTTTGGGGTAGGTGTTTTTGGTAGCATCATGACATTATTCCTGCTCAGTTGTGATGGGTTTTCCTCTTCCGTAGTGTCCTCTAGGTTCTGCTGGTGTTTCTCTCTATTACCGTTTTTGCTAATCTTGATGATCATGGGTAGCTCTAAGTAGGAACTGGTTAGAACTAAACCCCTTTCCTTTATTCAGTTTGTGGCTGACCACCCTTTGTTCTCCTTATCACGCTTTTTGTGATGCTTTAAATAAGGTCTTAAACAGCCATTTGCTAAATTTGCTTTCTTCCCTGAGACTGGCTCATCCAGCGTTCCTGCTGACTGAGGAACGCGGTGTTAGGAGCATCCTGGTCCTGTTCCACTGTAGTGGTTATTGTTGGCTTCTCGCACGCCCTCCATCGGTTCAGCAGTGTGTAGTTTCTCATGCCCACTTTGTGGAATTGTGTTACTAAACTCTGGTAAACAGATTTCTGTGAGAAGTGGCTGCAGTTCAATGGTGGATGAAATAATCTCTTTATAGAAATTTGTTTGCAGGCCTCTGGGAAAACCGGCGTAATATAATTGGAAGAATATATTTAATATTAAGGTTGTTGTGAATTGTCTTTATTATTATTATTCTTTTTTGGTCCTCTGTTTGTGACAGTGATTGAAGTTTGCCATTTGCAAAATCTATGGATTGGGATGGGGAGCATTCACAGTATCAGGAGCAAATGGGGGGGGGTCAGTCTCTCAGGTTTGGTGACTTCTGTCAGAAGCATAACCAATTTCAGTTTAGCAGGAATTTGTACAATATATGTGAAGATCATGCTTTGAATCCAGAGGAGTGAAACCCACAGTGATGAAAACCACCTGGAAATGCAGTGCACTTTCATATTGCTTTCCCATTTATATCAGGGCAAAGACAAAGCAAGTGTGTATCGGTTATTTGCCAGTAGGACTTTCTGCTGTTCAATACAACTCTAACCCTCATTTTAGAAGATTAAAAATAAGTTAAATGTAGTTTTAAAATCCACAGTTTTCCTGGAATGGGAAAATAGATGTTCTGTTGTAAAGGCTCCCTGAAAGATTCTAACTGTATGATTTGTTGGTGTAAGTATTTTTCTATTAAAAAGAGATATATCACCAGCTTGAAAAGCAGTATAAATGTAAAGAGAAAATTTGTTAACTGCAATGGGAAGAGCTAACCCTGGGTCACCTGCAAATCTCTCAAACAAGAGCTTCAGGGCAAGTCCTAATTCCAGAGAGTAAAAGCGAAAATTAAAGCTAGAGCTGGTGAATCCTCTTAAGTTACCTGGGGTGGATTCATTTGAGTTTCCTTGATTGTGCTTGTGAATATAATGTGAAAGGGATGGTAGAGGTCTTCTCAGCCACTTCCCGTCCCAAGTATCTCCATGGAGACAGGAATATAACCTGACGGTCTGTCAAAAGTTGCTTTTCATAACCAGAGGCATTCATTAAATAGTAGATGAAGCAGGAGGCAAACTTTTGCATTTTTAAGCAACCTAAAAAAAATAAATGTGCTTTATGGAGTGGTTTATCCAGATACCACTCATACTTCATGACCTGAGAAACAGACTGTTAATGTGATAGATTTATTTATCATTTACCCTTCTTCTTCAGGTTAGAAGCTATCACATGCAGTAAGTAAAAACACGGCAAAGACCATACAGGTTCAGAAATACCAAGCCGCTGATCCAGTTCTGCAAACGCACACTGTTTTGGTTGCATGGGAAAAGCCACAGAACCTTCTGAGCAGCTGGGTTTTCCAGTGACAAACAGGTCGGGGGCTCACTCACGTTCTTCTGGGAGAACATTTTGGGGGTGAAAGGACTAAAGTGGCTTTTCTGAGGCAAAACAATGTTTTAATGAGCGCATCGAAGCATTCGTCAATACTCTTGAAACACAGACTGCATCTTTTTCATCCTTCTTTCAAGCAGGGGTTTCAGTTGTGTCTCTGCTACCATTTCATTAGTTGAAATTCTTCATGGAAGGTATAGAAACCACACTGCCAGTCTCCTTCCTAAGCCCCAAGTTGGGTAATGACACACCAGATGCTCAAGCTTTTGAGCTGCAGCCACTGCACTCAGATCCCTCGAGACAAACCTAAACTTCTCATCTCCCAGTAGTGCACGAAAACCAGACGGTTCGTGGAGGAAACAGAGGAGCGTGGGTGAGCAGGAAGATAAAACATTTTACATTGAGTACTTTTAAAACTGTTCTTAATGTGCTATAAAACCGGAGGCTTCCCTTTTTCCTGAACTGTGTGCAAAAGGAGGAGCGCCGACTGTAAAGTTGTCGCCAGTTAGGTTTGGTTTATGGTTGCAGAGGCCGCCCAATAATGTGATCTTGGAAAAGGTAAACAACATAGTTTTAACAATGAAAAATATGCCTAATATAAATACTGCTAAGTTCATTGCTGTTCAGAACTTGAAAAATATGAGTGTAACATTGCATTTTCTGGTGGAGTTAACAGAGGAGCACGGTGCAGCCTTACAAGCAATATATCTGAGGCAGAGAAAATAGGTAATACATCTAACTGGGGAGTCTCTGTGGCATTGGCGGAGAGGAAAGCACAGTAGCTTTATTTAATTGAGAAAATGAATCAATTACAATGATGTTGCATCATCAAATGCAGGGGAAATAGCAGATATGTCATTACATCGGGTAACAGTGTTAAAAAGTAATTGAGTGTCTTAAGCATTTTGAATCAATTCCAGGTACTGGCACAGCTACCTTAATGCAAAATTTATGAAGATGATCTCAAAATAATATGTCGCCATCAAAATAGTGTAATAAAACCTGGTAACGATGTGTGTGTGCACGCATCCCTCCCTACCTCCCTCTGCAGAAGCAGGGCCTGCTGCTCCAGAGGAGAGTTGCAGCGGCACAGGAAGAATCCTGTCGTACTTGCATTTGTGTTGCTTTATTTTTCATTAGAAGCACTGAGCCCTTTGATTAGAAATGATATTTTAAATCTCGTTCTGAAATTGGATGTAGTCATATCGGCGTTGAGGCGACTGTAGATGATCCCACCTCTATTCCTCTGCATGACAAGACCTATTTTTCCAGTGAGGAAATGTGACTGGTGCTCTGTTAGGATGACAACCTGAAACGCCTGCTCGTGTGCACTAGTGTAAAGAAGCCCCACACCATCCCTACAGAATGAGTCTGTTTTGTCATTTAGCATCTGGAAGTGAAGTGGGGAAAAAAAGTCTTTTTATATCCACAGCATATTTTGCTGATTAGCAATAATGGAAAGCGGCATGTTTATTCCATTGACTTGTAATAGGTTGACATTGGCCATTAAAAAAATGGGCTAATTCTATGCATTATTTTCTTCTCTTCCTTGGAAAAAAAAATAGAATTATCCACAGAAACTTGATGTGTATGTTTGTGCACTGCTAATACAATAATGAAAGACTTTGTGCATAATACCAGCTATTTTCTTGGTGCTAGTTTTCAACCTCCTCTTACATTACATTTTACTACCTGTGAAGTATCACTCGAGGATCCTGCCTCTGGCTGGGTACTGGAGGGGAGTGCTTCCAGCGCTGATAGCAGCCCTACAACATTCATCATCATGGCACTATACAGCAGAGAATATTAAACATAAGGGCAAGCCAAATAAAGTGTGTTAGAACAGCAGACAACGTTCTCAATAAGGACCCCGTTGTGTTCACATCGCAATGGCGTTGGGTTGAGCAACTTTGTGTCTGGTTAGCTAAAATAGAGAATTAATTCTCCGCACCCATTAGAAATGGTACCCATGAACATGAGCAGAATGTCAGCATCCTGAAATCTGGTCAGATATTTTGTGTTAAGTACTTGCTTTGTATTTAATTGTTGGCGCTGTAATTCTGCCTTTGTTCCTTATTGTGGTCAAAAGGTGCTTTGCCAGTATGGGCCAGAATATTTTGCAGCAATCAAATGGTCTGTTACTATAAACTATTAATTATTTCCCAACCAAATTGATGTGGAAATTGAAGACGACTGGTAACAACCCTTTTCTTTGCCATTTAAAACCAGACAAAGTTCATCAAACTTTGCAGCCTCACAGATGGCAATGCTCTACTTCGACTCCAAGTAAAACTGGGTTGGAATATATAAGAAACTTGGGGAAAAGTGGAGTATTAAAGGCTTTCCTGAGCAGCAGTAGATACTTCAACCACATAATTAAAGTTTTCTTCACAAAAAAGGGATTGTGAGCCGAGCCTGGCAGTAATCCAGAATTCTAATTTCTGACTATGATTTAATTTCAATTTTAAATAAATCGGTTTTTAATTTAAAAAGAGTGAGCTTCATAACATTAGCAATGATTGCAACATTAAGCCCAGTGTTCACCATCTAGCAATATAAAACATTATTTATATCTGAATCGTAAACAGCCTTTTGAAATGGATTATGGTTTTTCTTCCTATTCTAATACAACCTGGAGGGTACTAAAAAGTGTTGTGTGAAATTAACATTCTGCTGACTTTCGCCTATAAATGAGAAGCGAGCTATTAACATTTGTGTATTTTCATTATGTAAATTGTGTTAACACATGCCCACAAATTGCCACCAGCGATGCAATAATTTTCTCTCAGTGATCATAATGTGTCCAAGTGAGTCATTTTGATTATGACATGCTAATTACATATTGTCTTTTTTCAGATTCAGAAAAACCAGGGATCTTTAATGGTAAGCTTTATGAGTTCAGAAAAAAATTCACTTTTCTTTTTCCTGATGGCTGCTTCCTCTGCATGCTTGAATGCCTTGTTTTAAACTTAGCAAATTGCATTTTGAAGAAAATGCAAACCTTTAACTGCCTGTATTAGATTAGGTACCATTAGAAATAATAGAACATCCTGAGCATCAATGTTTTTATAAGAGTTTGCTGCTGTTGATTAATCTTGCTATATTTTATTGCATTAATGATTTTTTCTTTCCACTCCACTGTAAAGATATTGCATATAGGCTAATACTTTTTCTCTCTCTTCTTCCCATTGCAGCCTCTCCAGTTATTGCAGTGCATTGTTGATGAGGTGAGTCGTCGTCTTATGTGCTTTCACTCCTAAAGTCATTCCTAATGGAGTGGAAAGCTTATATTTTGTTTCCTAATGAAGCACAATGCCCAACATCCTCAGAGCACAAGTTGCCTTGTGCAGCTTGGAGCTGTCAAACATGAACTGGCCTCGTCCCACTTTATGCTGTTTTTCTACTCTTAATATTGAGTCTTTGAAAGACTTGATTGTCTCAAAGCCTGCTCCTTTTAGCTCTTTAGGTCCTAAAGCCTCAACCTCATTGTGTGAGCTGAACCTCAGCATTTACCAGATGAGTTGGAATGGAGACATTCAAGTGGCAGCACTCTTTAGCCAGGGCATATTTAATGCAGTTTAGATGGGCAAAAAGGGTATTTTGACAAGGAGAGAAAACCAGAGTGTAAGCAGGGAAGAATCTGAATTTTGTCCGATCATTTTTATTTAATTGAAGGACAAAATAAAAAGCTAAGATGCAGGAGATCCAGGTGTGAGCTGGCAATTGAATTTCAGTGGCTAGTGTCGTGTCTCTTGATTGAAACACTTCTTTCCCTGTCTCCTTTCCCTAACTGAGGTATAAGAAGGGGTCCCAACTCTTGACAGTGAGGCAATAGCCAGGGGTAGACTGCTGTCAGTTTTACTTTGGTCTTAATGTTTAATAAGACTATGATGGCAATTGGAAAGTTTGAACAAGAAAGAAAAAGCTGTAACTCTAAAGACTTGCCTCAGCCTCTAGCAGGTCATTGCTGGCTCATCAGGTTGAGACACTGGATGTTGGTGTGTCCTTTGAGACTGTTCAGCTTCTTCCAACCTGTCCCGTGTAACATGTTTGTTTAGCTTGACGTAAGCTTAGAGCCAGTGGGATGCCCAAGTACCCTCTCTTGGTTGTGTCTCCATCTGTAACTGCTACTTATATGAACCGCTAAACCCTCTGCTCTTACCTGCAGTGATCGCTTGTGTCCTTTTGTTAGAGAACGACTAAGAGGCTTAGCTGGACTTCTTTTTAAAAGTGATATTTGAGCCTTGAGGGATGCAGTTATATTAAAGAGAACAAGTATCCTTTGTGTAAAGGAAAGATGTTCTCCTGGTCCTCCAGCAGTGCTGGCTCTTTTACCTGGCTCTTTATGGTGGTCTGGTTCTTTGGGAGGGTCTTAGGCAATTCTCTTTATTTCATCTTTTTCATCCGTTATTATTCCTGTTACATACATCATTGGTTGAAGCATGGAAATTCCAAAGCACCGGTGCTGTATGTACCACCAGCAGAAGCCCATCTCCATCCTAAAGAAGGTCAGTTAAAGACGCTCATATTTTCTAGACAAATTACTTTTAAATAGGCTGGTACTAGTGCCTAAATCCAAGCTCACTCTTCTAAACCACAGCCCTAAAGAGCTGCAGATTATGACAGACCTTCTCGCAGCTTCCACATCTTTTCCTCCGGATTAGAATTGCTCCAAACTTCTCACAAAATCTTTAACCACCAGCCTTGGTGCAGGCTGTAAGCACCTGAGTGCCGAGCTAGCTTTAACATTCTCCTTTTGGTATCTACTTGTTGTAACTTATTTCATGTTCCCCAGCATGCCACGGAGCCATCATTCTCCTGAGGCAGTGGTTCAGAGTGTCCTGTGCTTGTGAGCACATTAAGACTTCAGGTTACAGAGCATAGCTCAGCTGAAAGTTCTTTAAGTGCAACTCGCTTTGTTTTGTAACACACTCAATGTCTAAATGGAAGTTGCATGCCATAACGTTTAGAGCCTGAGGGGAAGAGGAGGATGGATTGGCTCTGTAGTGTTATTTGCTCGTCTGTATTGTTATGGGGTCATTTAATAAGATATATAGTGTTTAGATAGTGGCTGCCACACCTGGAAGTGCAAACTCTTAGCATGGCAGTGTCTTGGAGAACATTTATATTAAAGGCTTTTCTGTTCTAGCTCATGAGTAGCATTGACTTTAATAGATCCTCCTGCCACCCCCAGCCTTGTCTTGTGTACAAAGACCTCAAAGAAAATGTGTTTAACTTGTGACTAGGTTTTTCTTAACCCTTCTCACTTTGTCTTCTGTAAGGTGTGCCTCCTGGGGAGTAACAGAGGGACCTGCTTATTTGGCTCATACACACTCTTCCTTCTACACAAGGACCTTTTGAGAGACAAAGTCTCTTTACTATCTGGTACTGCACAGCTGTTGTTACTACCATGAGTATTAAGGATCAGAAATGCTCAGTGTTGTAAGACTGCTAATTTTGGGTCGAATTGTCCCCTTGGCTGTAAGGAGGTCCTAAAACTCACAGGAGGTGGGAGCAGAGCCCCTCTCCTGTGCAATAGGAACCCAGTGATGCTGGTGCACAATTCCCCACCTACTGTAATGACGATCAGAGCAGCAAGGAGTGATGATCTGCAGCTTGCCTCTTTTCAGAACTGGTAGGGCACAGCAGTGCTCCCATGATGGCGCAGCCTGAGGATGAGATGTAGCATCAGGTTATGGGAGAAGCAGCTCTGCAAGGCTGGGATCAAGCTGCCTTGAGGATCTTGAGTCATCATGTAGGTTCATAGTAATAATCTGCTGAAGCTGTTGCAGTTGAAAACTCTGGGTCCTCAAGTGCCTTAATGTGTCCCTTTGTGTGGCAAAGAATGGTTTGGACTTTTGGGTCCTAAAATTGTGATTATACAGCTTTGTGGAAGAGAACGTTTCTTGTAATTGTGTCTTTGCTGGCAGAGTGCTTATCCTGCTCCTTCCCACTGGAGTTGGCCAAAAACTCCAGAACCTGCCATGGAGAAGTGTTTTAAAATGATGAAACAGAGACTTTGATTCTTTATAATAGTTGCTTATTGTATTGGTAGTTGGTTGGGTTTTGTAGGGCAACACTGAGAACTGAATCCAAAGTTAATCAAGAATCCAAAAGTTAATGTTCTGGTCATTCATAACCATTAATTCATAGGATTTATTAGTGACTGAACTAGTTCAGAGGTTGCTTCTGTGTTACTTTCCTCAAACCCTGTACATTGGAATAAGAACTGTCCATGGGAGTTTTTAGTTGTTCTGCAGAGCTGAGATGTTTGGAGCTGACTCTTAGTTACAGAAATATGAGAGATGTAAGAGGTCACTTTGACAGCTTAAAAAGTCTCTTCATTCTCTAGAACTTAAATTTACTTGCAGAAATCCTGCAGGATGAGTAAATGATGTGAGAAGCAGGGTAATCTAACAGAAACATAGGCATGGTTCTTCTCAAATCAGAGTGAAGTCTCCCTGCCTTTTTTTGTTATATTATAGGCCTTTTAATGGCATTGGTTCTGGGGTTATTTTTTGATGGCAGAATTAGCGAGGAGCATATGTGAATAGCATACATGCTTGCCAGGGCCTTTATTTTTTAACATGTGGTAACTTATAATGAAATCTGATCCAGCTACAAATAAGACACGCACATTTAAGCAATGGTCCTCATCATAGCAGCATCTCCCACCATAAGACTCCTGCATCTGGTCCAGAGATGAGGATAGACTGGTTGTTAATGCAATTTATCCTGCATCACCACCAGCAATAAAGGCAGTCTGCTGTTATTTGGGAGCTGAGAGTCATTTAATATTCTAGCACTCAACTTAGTTTGTCTCCAACTCACCAACATGTTATATGGGAAGCACTGAGCAGTGCACATGAACCTCGTTGGGTAGGTCCCTTCCAACTGGAACCATTATATGATTCTATAAGATCCCAAAAGACCAAACCTGACAGATCTCTGGTTTTCAGCATGTCTGCATCTCATCCTTTCCATCACATGGTTTTTGGCCTTGGAGGTGTCTGCTCTGCATCCAGAGAAGGTTGGATGGACAGCAGTAGCACTGTGGAATGCATCCGGTAGGCAGTCCTGACTTGAGCAACTCCTTTAAATTTCCCTTAAGCTCTCCAGGGCTATTTTCTTTGACCTTTATTTAGTTAGAGTATCCTTCCAGGAAAGCAATTATTGCCAGCCCCTTGGGTGGTTGTGGTAAACCCAGTTTCACTGTACTGGAGCAGTTGTGGTTACAAGTGCTGTAGTTAAGCATCAGCTCTAGTTTCTAACCCTTTCTTCAGAATCTGAAATGAATGAATTTTGCTTTCAGTTTCCATAGCTTGTGTAATAGCGACTTAGGGGTTGGGCTTGGCTTTTATGTTTTTAACCTGTATTGCATTAGGGAAAAAACGAACTTAATTTTTGTCCATCAGTCTTAGTTAAATTATTATTGTGTTATTCCAATGACATTGGAAGCTTGAGGAGTGAAGACTGTCAAGAGCAAATCCTACTTTTTACAAACAGGAGGCAGCATTGGGGAAAGTGCCTGTTTTGATGAGTCAGGCAGAAATGTAAAAGCAAAATTAATTAGTTGTACTCACGAATCCTTTCTCTGATCGCTTCATGAGTAAGTAGTGAGAAGCTTTCCATGAGTTTCTTGAGCATTTCTGTTAAGCGCCCCCACAGAGATACTCGGTCTCACAAGACTGCAGTTTAATCTAGCTCAAGGACTTTGCAAACTCCATGAATCAAAGGCCTCTTTTTTTTTGTTCTCTTTAAATTTGTACTCTCGAAACATTTAACAGCATCCGTTAACGCTGGTGGAGTGTTAATGCTGAGCTGTGAGGCATTTCAGTGTCACTAAATCTTCACATTTTGTAATGGAAGAAATAACTTGCACTTAATACATGTATCCTATTAGTTGGGTTTATTCCCTTCTTTTTTTTATACCTGGTTAAATATATCCTTCTATTTATTGCTGTGGTGTAGCCTTAAAAATTCACAGGACATTCAGCTTGATCAAATAATACGATGAAGATTGTTGCCTCTCAAGTGCTGAATTTCCTGACCTTGTCCATCAGGACCACGTTTTGCTATTTCTATAAATGAAGTGGAAAGCTCCAAAGGCTCAGAATGAAACAAGACTATTTTTTTCCTGAGGAGTTTCTCTTTGGAGTCTCAGGTATCGATTTTAATGTGTAAACAGTTATAGTTATCCCTTGAAAATTCCCAGAGTTTTGCAGAT